TTACCCCCACCATTTATGTTAGCATTCTCATTTTTGCAATATAAATGCATCGTTCTTATTTCTTTTTTAAAGCTCAACACTCCACTAGCTCCATCTAGAATAGTTGGTCTAATATCGATCCTATAAAATTTTCCTTTTAACTTATGTGTTATTCTTTTATCCCATAAGATGTCACTAGCTTGTTTCCATTTTGTCCATTCGGATCCAATTCTACTAATCATATCACTTTCTATTTCTCCATCTTTTTTTTTTTAAATTTTTTAATTTATTATCGAACGTCAGTAACGAAAGTGGTTTTTTTGAGTAATCTTTTAATTTTCAAGTTTTATCATTATATTATGAAGAATCAAGTCCTTATTAAATTTACAATCCATAAATTCCATTTTAGTTTGATTAATTCTCTATCTTTTTTATTTTAAAGAGTTTATCCACCTATCTAATTTTATTGCTAGGTTTTCTATGGAAGCATCTAGTAACACAATATCATCGGCAAACACCATGCACGAGGCGGGGAATATCTTCTTGGAGGTTTTTTTGTTAATTCATCTAGAATAATTACAAAGAAGAATAGACTTAACACTGAGCCTTGGAGCAATCCTATATTTATAGAAAACTCATTAGTTTCGATCACCACATAGTTTTGTTAACGTATTACCATGTATGTATTATATTTGACTTTCTTTGTAGGATTTATTTTAGGCATAAATATTTTCTTAATTGTTGAGATCTTGTAGATCAAGAATTATTGTTGAACAAGAATACGTGTAAATTAATTCTGGGGGATTCTTTCCATATTGTAATATTTTTGTCTATATAAAAATAGAATGATTATTGATCTACTCCTCAGTTGAGGAATAAATCACCAAAACCATTTGTCTTCTTTACATCATTTGGATTCTTTATATAGTATCAATCTTAGCACTTCCTTATTAATTAATTCCTATTTGTTTATTTTTTTTCGGTTCTTCCTTAATGATCGAAACACAAATTAATTTAAGCAGTTCATCTGTAAATAACAAACAACAAGGATCAACTAACGATCGTCTTTAGGTTCATCACTTGGCTAGTCCAACAAATTTATTGGCTAGGCTCTCTTCAGGTAGTATCAATTTTAATGCTCATCTGGCAGGTATTGCACTTACAGTTCCCTCCAATTCAATATAGATTATTGATACAGGAGTGACTAATCACATGTGTTCCACTTTATCGTTATTTTCTTCTTATAAATCATGTCCAACTTCGTCGTTTGTTCAACTTCTGGATGTGTCGAATGCCCCTATCACGCATATTGAAACTGTACATCTTTCTTTTACTATTAAACTTGAAAATGTTTTTTTTATCCCATCATTCAAGTTTAACCTTTTATCTATGAGTCATTTTGCAAAAACCACTAATTTCTTAATGACTTTTTATTCTAATCAATGTTTATTTCAAGACCCGTCAATGAAGAGTATGACTGGACAGGGTAATGTTCATAAGGGGCTATACTACTTTCTAGCGGCTTCAACAATGACAATTATTAAACCACCATCCATTGATCTTTGGCATTGGCGACTTGGACACTTATCTTATCATACTTTGCATAATTTAACTAAGGATGTTTCCTTTATATCTTGTTCACAAAATAAAGTTTGTGAAATTTGTCCACAAGCAAAACAAAGGCGTTTACCGTTTCCTTCTAGTTCTATCACTACTAGTAGGGCTTTTGCTTTACTTCATGATGACATACGGGGTCCTTTTTCTCAACCATCATTGAATGGTTCTTGCTATTTTTTTTAACTATTGTTGATGATTTTAGTCAATGTATTTGGATTTATCTTATTCATGTCAAGTCTGAAACTAAAAATATTTTGCAATCTTTTTTTGAGATGGTTAAGACTCAATTTCACTCTCGTATATACTCTCTTTATTCAGGAAGTGGTGTGAAATATTTTCACAAATACAACAAGTTCGATCGGCAATGGTTTCGAATTTATTTCCAAAGATATACAAAAGTTTTTTTTCCGACCATAGCGTCATTCATCAACATAGTTGCATTGCCACTCTGCAACAAAATTGTGTCGTAGAGCACAAACATCGTCACCTTCTAGAAGTTGCTTGTGCTATTCGTTTTCAGGCACATTTGCTTTTAAAATTTTGGGGTGAGTGCGTTCTCACAGCGACATATCTTATCAATAAAATGCCAACTCCTCTTTTTGCCCCATATGAAATTTTATTCAACTCAAAACCAGATTATTCCCATTTGCGTCTCTTTGGTAGTTTATGTTTTACACATAATCGTAATATTAAACATAAATTTGACCAGCATGCCAAACATGGTATTTTTGTCGGTTACCCATATGCTTAAAAAGGTTATCGAATTTTTGACATTGCATCTAAAACTATTTTTACTTCTCGTGATGTCATATTTTTATGAAGGAATTTTTCCTTTTCATGATTTGTCTAAATCGGTACCATTACCTTCTGATGTCACTCCTTTGTCTTTGACTGATAACCCATGTTTTGATTTTCCAATTGGTGAGCATGGTCCCTCTTCTTTTCCCATTTTACCACCAGTTGTTGATACAAATATTGTTGAACAAAATAATCCAATAGTACCACTTACTATTGATAAAAATTTATCTAATAATTCTGAACCACCTAATGTGCAACCAAATCCCATACTTTCTTCTGCAGGTACAATGCCAATTGCTCAACCTAGTCGTAATCGGCGACCACCACCATACTTGGATGATTATCATTGTTCCACTGCCACTCATAAATGTGTGCCCTCTCCATCTAATTCCAAGTTGGCAGGTACACCCTACCCACTCCATCAATATATCTCTAGTTCTAATTTTTCAATTGCACATAGAGGGTTCCTTTCTATAATTTGTTCCACAGATGAGCCTAAAACCTTCTCCCAAGCTGTGAAGTCACCACAGTGGAGGGTTGACATGGAAAAGGAAATTGAAGCTCTTGAGAAAAATAATACATAGACCCTCACATCTCTTCCACCCAATAAAAAACCCATTGGTTATAAATGGGTCTACAAGATTAATAAGTATCGATCAGACGGTACAATAGAGCATCATAAAGCTCGTTTGTTGGCAAAGGGTTTTACCCAAGTTGAAGGCGTAGATTATTATGATACTTTTGCACCCGTTGCAAAATTGGTAACAGTATGTGCTTTACTTTCCATTGCCTCTGCCAAACAATGGCCTCTTCATCAACTTGACGATAATAATGCATTTTTACAAGGTGATCTTGAAGAAGAGGTATATATGGGACTTCCGCCTGGGTTTTCTCGACAGGGGGAAACGCAGATTTGTAAACTCAATAAATCCATCTATTGGTTAAAACAGGCATCCCGACAATTGTTTGCCAAATTTTCATCTACTCTTTTTGAGGCTAGTTTTTCCCAATTAAAGTCTGATTATTCATTGTTCACAAATTGCCAAGGTAATTCTTCAACTTTTATTTTAGTCTATGTTGACGATATCATTATTACTTGAAACGATGATTTGGCTATTAAGGGCCTCAAGATATTTCTTGAAGCCAAATTTTTTATGGAAGATATGGGTAACCTAAAATATTTTCTTGGCATCGAGATCGCCCGTTCTCAATAGGGTATTTTTCTTTCTCAAAGAAAATACACTTTGGATATTCTCAAGGACACTGGTTTAATTGGAGGGCATGTCTTAGATTTTCCCATGGAACAACAGTTGCGGTTATCACTCGATGATAGGACATTACTCCCTGATCCCACTCCATATCGTCGATTAGTGGGACGTCTTATATACCTTACTGTTACAAGACTTAATATTAGTTATTCAATGCATGTTTTAAGCCAATTTATGCACTCTCCTCGTAGTGCTCATATGGATGTAGCACATAGTGTGGTTCGCTATTTGAAGGGTTCTATTGGTAAATGAATTCTTTTGTCATCGTCTAGCAGTATTCATTTGCAAGGTTATTGTGATTCAGATTGGGCAGGTTGTCCTGTCACTCGATGATTGACCACTGGGTATTGCACTTTTCTTGGTTCCAACCTCATTTATTAGAAAACCAAGAAATATGCTACAGTTTCTCACTCTTCTGCTGAAGCCGAATATCGTGCTATGGCAACTTTAACATGTGAACTTCAGTGGCTGAAATACTTGTTAGGCGATCTTAGTATTTCTCATTCTTCTCTTATCACTTTATTTTATGACAATCAAGTTGCACTGCATATTGCCAACAATCTTATTTTTCATGAACGCACAAAGCATATTGAACTTGATTGCCACTTCGTTCGAGAAAAGATCCCGTCCAAGCTTCTTGTTCCTAGATACATCTCTCCTATTGGTCAACTTGTGGATATCATCACCAAATCGTTGGGGAAAGATCCGTTTCATGGTTTGATAGGCAAGCTGGGCGTTTTTCATACACGTTCCACCTTGGGGGAGTGTTAACGTATATGTATTATATTTGACTTTCTTTGTAGGATTTATTGAGGCATAATTATTTCCTTAATTGTTAAGATATTGTAGATCAAGAATTCTTCTTAAACAAGAATATGTGTAAATTAATTGTGATGGATTCTTTCCATATTGTAATATTTTTGTCTATATAAAAATACAATGATTATTGATTTACTCCGTTGAAAAAGAAATCACCAAAATTATTTGTCTTTTTCACATCATTTGCATTCTTTACAAGTTCGAACCCTAGTTTTAGGATAAACTATATGTGAATCTTTTTGCTTACTCTTACACTCTTCAACTACTTATCTAAGTAAATATGTTGCTTTCATGTAGATCACACATTTCGAACCCTAGTTATACGATAAACTATATGTAAATCTTTTTGCTTACTCTTACACTATTTATTCAACATTTCCCTTTTTCATATTTTCATCCCTTCACTGGGCATTGATCCAAGTTTGCGACCGTATAAGGGAGACAAGTTGTTCAAAGAAAATGTGGAGACCGTCCTCTTGACAAATCCAATATATAAGGATTAATGAGATTCCCGTCTCGTCAAGTTATCGACATTAAATTTAGTCATTCTTAGGGAGCATCCCGCTTCCTAGTCTCTTCTCCCTCGTTCAAAAAAAAACTTTTTAAAAATTTTTCCCTAAATATAGACCTCAAAATTAGCGCTTTCACAAAAGTGCTCTGAATCTCATTCCGAAGGTCATACTAGGTGTCTTAGGCAATAAATAGGCTCCAGTGAAAGTTCCAGAATCTTTCGTGTCCATCTCGGGTTTCAAAACAAAAAAAATAAAAAACAGTCTATAACCAAATTTGCGTCTAGACGCCAAGGCACCTAGGCATTAAAAAAATTTTCAAACTAAAAAATTTGAGATTTCACGAAACATGTCCATTTTTCATTCCGACTGTTCTAGAGGGTGTCCTAGTAAAGCATCATTGTATCCGAGTGTTCCCGGAATTTTTAAACTCCGTCAAGGCCTCCAAATGGCCGAAATGAAATTGCAGCCAGTAGCCAAATTTGTGTTCGGACGCCCCTTGTCCAGTTGCTTGTCATGGGAAGTCCAAGGTAGCGCCCACCACACGCCTTAGCACTTGGCGTCCGGACGCCGCCCGATGCGTCCTGATGCTAGAGCCTATAATTGGCCCGAGCCCAATTCTTTCTTTATATCCATTCTTCTTTTCATTTTGCTTGCCCATTCTCTCTATCTCAACCTTCGTTCTCTCTCAACTCAATTTTTCTCATCATTTTCCTCCTATTCTTTTTCCCCATCATCTCCGATCATTATTCAATCTTCAATTCAAAAATTCATCCCTCCACTTATCAAGTGTGCAAGAATCATCTTCTCCATTGTTGTGGTAAGTTCTTCTTCCATTCTCTTTTAAGTCTGTCAAGTAATTCATGTATGAGGAAAATGGGAATTCTATTTATGGATTATTAGGTTATGTTGGGGCTAAGTAGAATTCAATTGCTATATCATCATTGTTGGTTTCTAAGCTTCGTTCCATTCTTTTGTTTTAGGTTGTTTGACATCGCGCACCACGTGTTTCTTAAATTTCCTGAACCAACTCTTCACTCTATAATGGCACCAAGAACTGCTCCAAAGCGTGCTAGATCATCCCAAGAGGTGTTTATTCCCAATTGGAGTGAATGGCCCATCGAATTCGAGACTAAATTCGCTATTCGGGATGACTTCAAGAGGCATCTCAAGACGGTATGGGAAGTCAAAATTCTCAAAAACTGTGGCCTTTCTTCTCTTTTCAAACCATGCCATCATGTGGTCCATCCTCATTTGGTTCATCTTTTCTACCATAATATCTTATACAATTGTGAGACACCAACCGTTCTTACTACTTCTAACGATGGCACCATATTGACATTCACCTTGTATGATGTTGCCGCCGCTTGTGGCTACCCGACTAACTCACCCTTGGATGCAAATGGTCAACCTCTTTATGGTTTATTGCTAGACATGGTTGTTTATTGGATGATTTAGTGGACATTTTGAAAGAAATCGGCCATAGCAAACTCACGAACTAGAAGAGCAATTCCACTAGCAAGTCTTACTTGCCGTACCGAATTTGGTTGATAGAGACCGTGCTTGCTAGGAATGTATTCCCAATAGGCCATCATGCATAGCGCAGTGGTGTGTTTCTTAATTCTCTTTATTCTGTTGAAACAGGCTCGTGGTTCTCTATCCCTGCTCTCATTTGGTTCCAAATTTTGAAAGTCTATACCGATTTAATCGTGAAGCAAACGGAAAGGTCATTAACATACTTGTTCTTTTCTTTTCCCCTATCTAATCACAAAGCTAATTAAGGACCAAGGGTTTACTATCCCACGCAACGAGCTGCGTGCAACCTCCAAGGTGGATTATAAACTCAAAAAGTAGGAGTCCTTTATTGATTATGGCGGCCCAGGTCCATCTTCATTTGCACCGATGGAGGATTGAGCATTTTTATGCTCTTTTGCTTTATAATTTATTTGCCAGTACTTTGTTTTGTTGGATATTTTGGCATGACATGTGGGTGCACGTTTTATGTGCACGAATTTTGATCTCTTTCCTGGTTTTGAATAAAAGTATGATGTGTTCTTTTAGATTTATATTGATGTATGTATATCTATGTTTTTGTGCTTGGTACCTAGTGCTATGTTGACAAATTATCAGGTACAAGTTTGGGGGAGGATACTTGGCATCTCCTACGAGATTGGATGCCTAACATACGTGTTTTAACACTTGGTAGTGTTGTTCCTTTTAACCCTTTTTCTTATAATGTGTCATACTAAGGCTTAACAAAATGGAGCTTAATTATAAAAGATTCTATTTTCAGGTTACGGGAAGGAAGTGGTGGACAACGGTCCTCCAAAAGCTTAGGTGGATTAGAGGATTGTTTTTGGTTATCTTTTGTAATTAAGCTCCATTTTGTTAAGCCTTAGTATGACATGTATAATTTTGTAGCTTGTGGCTAAGTAATTATAACCGCATCCATTGTATATCACTTTGATGTAATTTCAAGCATTTTGAAAATGGCCACTGAAGCATGTAACAGACTATGTTGCTACTCTTGAATAAATGGGATGAAAATGAACCACTTTGAATGACTTTATTGACGATTATGATCATAGGGCTTTACATGATATTTGTCATGAGTTGGGACAGGTTTTATAGTAGGTTTTGGCTCACAAACGAGCCTGGGTGAGTGCAAGACCCTTAAAACCATAATCTGCAGATTATATAGCTTTCAGGCCTGTCGACCGACTGGCAAGGCTAGCCAGCTGACCGACAGTGCATTTCGAGCTAAGCCAAAGAGTTGAGTTCTCAAGTCCATATTTTCGGCCAGCCGACTAACCCTGTTGTCTTAGCCGGCCGACAGTGTTCTACCTTCTGCTCTTACGACCCTTCTGAGATGTTTATGATATGACGTACTATAAACCTTGGAATGAAATAAATATTATGTATTGACATTTGATAGGACTTTAATGCCTTAGACAACCTCGGGTTCGGGTAAGGACCTAGATGGCAATTCGGATCCCGAGTTCGGGTTGCTACAATCACTTTAATCACGTTGCTAATACTGCTAAAATGTCTAAAAAATCTTTTGTACTCTTACAGAGTCACATCCGATTGCTTCCTAGAAAGAGTAATGAAGGAAACTCGTCCCTCTCTTAAACCCATCTCTGAACATACTCCGAACAGACACTTATATTCCATTTCAGAGATGTTCAACATTCAAAACAAAATCACCTAAATTGATAAAACTAAGAAACTAAATTATTGATACACCAGAAAAGACACAAATACATACTTTATATATATATATATATATATATATAAAGCGAGTTAGGATATGAGCACGGATTACGAATGAGAATCAGATTCACCGGTGGTTTAACTGGTAACTGCAATTCCAGTGAAGTCCTTTCCTCTCTGATGATAAACGTGACCCAGTACCCAGATTCTTGATTCTAGAGTATTTTAGCTCTGCAATCTTCCAACAACAGCACTACCAAGAATAGATCTTCAAGCTAGCTCTAAACGAGCTCGTGAAGTTGTCGTCATTGCCGGAGACGTTCATTTTAAAGAACAACGACTAACAAGCCAAACAAGCATTGGTTTATTGTCAGAATGAGTTTGAGGACGTTGTGGATAGACTTAACGATTTGATTTCGTTAATGGCAGTGAACGACAACGAGAAATTGCTCTTGCCATCGAGAATTTGCCACATCATGACATGGTTGAGCTCGGGCAATTATAGATCAAGGCACTTGTTTGGATGATCATGATGAAGAGGTTCGAGGAAGAACAACCCCCCCCCACCCCCCCACCCCCCCCGATTGAGAATTATCCACATCATGACATGGTTGAGCTCGGGCGATTATAGATCAAGACACTTGTTTGGATGATGATAAAGAAGAGGTTAGAGAGAGAGGGAGTAAAGGAAAACAATGTTCTTGCCATTGAAGCTCTTCGATGCCATGGTAGAGATAGAGAGATGTTTTTTAAAAATAATTAGGGGCACTTTCGTCTTCTAAGAAATTTGATTTTTTTTTTTAATTTTAAATATATTAAATAAGTGAGGGCATAAATGACATTTCACACTTTTTTTAAGATGGAAATATGACCTGGAGTATAATTAAAAGTTAAAATCAAAATGTTCATCTATGTGAAATTTGACCTAATATAACCTTTTTAAACAAAGCTAATTATACCAGGTAGTTTGGTAAATGTGCGATGACATTGGTCAAAAAGCAACGGTGAGTCAAATTCAGAGGGACAAGTTGCTCACTTTTGAAATTATAGAAATTGACTTACTCATTTTAATACCATGAAGGAGTATTTTGTTTATTGGGGGAGTTTTTTTTTACGCTTTAGGCTTTTATTAAATTGACTGAGCATGTGAATAGATTTGTCAATTACAATTAATGACATCACGGACTTGTTTCCAAAAAAAACACCGAACGGTACCTTATTTATGTTGCTTGGTTTCCACTTTGACCCCTTAAGGTTACAGAATACTCTGGCCGAAGGAGTTCGATGAAAATTAAGAGTTTCTCTTAATGATAAAAACTTCATTTCAACTTTCTTAATTCTTTGCGAAGTTGAAGACCATCCAATGCTTTACAAGAATCTATCTACCTTGTCTAACTGGATTATAGACAGATGCATTGAGAATTTTTGGGTTGGACATCAATTGATATCTGCACGATGTTTACCTTCACTCATATACCTTAACTATGAAAGATGATGTATGTAACTATTAATTTAAGAAATCTGGAATAAAAGTTACAAATTTAAGTTGGCAGAGACTTTAGAATTTTTCACCTATTTTGTTCATCCTGAATTAGATTGAATATTAGTTAATGGCACAATTGATGTTAGAGGTAATATAAGATTCAAACCACATCAAACCCAATATTGAAGAAGATAACTTTGTTGATGATTCATGTTTGATGTCAATAGTGGGAAAATTTTAGAATATCTCGAGTATCATACTCTTAGGTCTTTCAGTCGTCGAATGTAATAGGATCGGGACGACTCAAAGAAGTATGTGAGTGGGGTGACTTTTAACAAAAAAAAAAATATTATGGGAGTTGGTGAAGTTTTTCTATAATTTTAAGGATTTTAGGGGGACAAAATTTAAAATTTTGAAGTATATAAATAAATAAATAAACACAAAATAATATGTATAAAATGTAAAAGAAAAAAAAATTTCAGTGGGGTAATTATCCTCACTGAACCTATACTGGATTCGTATCTAAATGGAGCCTACCTAATGAGTGATTCCACGACTTAAAAGACTCGAATAACAAATCCCGTAATATTATAAAACTTCTCATTAGTAAAGATAATGTTTCATATTTGTTGAGGCTGAAATTCGCCGCGACCTAGTACAACACCGTTTCCTGCAAAATAAAGATGGTAAAGTCAAACACCGGTGTGGTGCCGGTCGTTGACCCTTCGACGATCAAGTTAGTAGGAGAGAAATAATTTTTTATCCTAATTTTCCTAGTAGGAGATTTTTTTGTGTGTACCTTATTCCTAAGTCGTTTTCGTATTTATAGTGACTTCCCTTATTCTTGATAAGGGAATTTCATCGTCCTTAGCCTATGGAGCTTATCCCGTGAAAATCTTATCCTTGATAAGATTTGAACTTTCCCCATGACAAATCTTATCCTTGATACGATTTGTCATCATTCTTATCTAATAGAAATGGTTATCCTTGATAATGAGATATTATCGCTTGAAAGTTGAAGAAGTCTGATGGCTAGTCAATACTTAATTACCTCTGTCGTTAGGTCAAGATAGGTTAGGGTTATTTTTCCCTATCAGTTGCCCCCTATTTCCGGATACGTTTTTTACCAAGGAAATACTTTTTATATTTTATTTATTTCCTTTTTACTACAAACCCCTTCCATATTGTAGTAGGACTCCTTTACAAGAACTTCACTGTTACTTGAAAAAGAATTTTCCTATAAATAAATAAATATATTTATTTATTTATTTACCTCCCTTTTCTTTTTCGTCTGAAATCCTTTAAACTAGACTGTTTGATTGTTTGGGGAAGGTGTGGCAATGGTCGTTTAACCGTAAATCAATTCTTGAATTTTTATTATCCCAAGAAGAAAAGGATAACTTTTGGTACTTTCAGTGTCGATCAAGGAAGATATTCCTCATTGTTGCAGCTCCTGAAAATAATAAAGGCTGGAAGAGTCGTTTCTTTTTTATTTCTGATGCATACGGGAAAATTCCCAGTGTTTGGAGTAATTCAAACCCTAGAGGTATGATATATAACAATGTGTATATATATATATATTTTCTTTTTCTTTTTCTTTTTCTTTCTTGTGAACAATACCCGCGAGTACTATTCTCGCGGGTACTATTCATGTAAATAGACATGAATAGTACTCACAATTTTTTTTTTTTTTTTTTTTAAACCTGTGAACAGTACCCGCGGGTACTATTCACACTCACAAAATAAATTTTTTTTTTTTTTTAACCAAGTGAACAGTACCTACGGGTACTATTTATGTGAATAGTACTCACAAAATAACTTTTTTTATAACCCTGTGAACAGTACCCGCGAGTACTGATCATGTGAATTGTACTCATAAATTTTCAATTTTTTTTTTTTAACCTTGTGAACAGTAACCGCGGGTACTATTCATGTGAATAGTACTCACAAATTTATTTATTTAATTTTTTTTTAAAGAGAATTGCGACTTACAATTCTGTTTTCCAAACTTTAAGGCGAAACCAGCTCTCTCAGCCCAAGAAAAAGAATATGTTAGTAACGCCCTTGCACACCCAATGAAGACCTTTAGTGATCTTATGACGGAGGAAGCACTAGAATTGTATGTACAAGCTACTAGCTCAACTGAAACCCTCACCCATTCAGAGAAAGGTAAGAAAAACAAAGGTACCTATACGTAAACTTACTAATTTTAGTTAATATTTTATTAAATATTTTCCTTACTACTCTTTATGTAGGCTAGAAACTCAGTAAAAGGCTCTTAGCCCAAGTCCAGTCAAATAATCTTCCCTCTACTCCTGCTTCCAAGAAATTACGAAGGGTAGGAGAGTAAAATCATGGTAGATCTTCAAA